CCCAGCCTGTACTGGTGCCTGGGGTTGTTCCTCCCCAGGTGCAGGACCCTGCCCTTGCCCTTGTTGAACCTCATCAGGTTCCTCTCTGCCCAACTCTCCAGCCTGTCCAGGTCTCTCTGATGGCAGCACAGCCTGTCGGTGTATCCACCACTCCTCCCAGTTTGGTGTCATCAGCAAACTTGCTGAGGGTGCACTCGAACTCTTCATCCAGGTCATTGATGAAGGAGTTGAACAGGACTGGGCCCAGTACGGACCCCTGAGGGACACCACTAGTTTCCGGCCTCCAACTAGACTCAGCACCGCTGATGACAACCCTCTGAGCTCTGCCATTCAGCCAGTTCTCAATCCACCTCAAATATGCTGATCTGTTTGATTGGATCTAGTATTTCAGGGCTTAAATCTTTTGTCTTCAGGAGTTAGAGAGAATGTAGGTGACATAATGTCAAGTCACATTTGCTTCCATGCAGAAAGAATACTGTGGGATGCACACACTACGTGATTAAAATGGGCTTTAATTGACACAGTGCAAACAGTGTATGTGTGTGGACACTTCAGGTCAGGTGTGATCACTCTAAATATCTGTGGTGTAATATAGGTGTAGTGTACAGAAATATTTTTGAAAGAGATCGTCCACAGCAAGTGAAATGTAAATTAGGAAGTGTTAATTGAGGTACACTTCTGAAGGTTCTCTCAGTTCAGTTGCATCTGCTCATGTGCTCAGAGACTGCTCTGTGATGGAAATTGAAGTCTGGCAAACAGGTATCAGCAGATTGCTTTCAAAATTCCCCTTCTGATCCAAAACTAATTGCTAATGTTGATGTGCCCACTGGTTTGTAGCAAGGGAAACTGTAATAAGTTACAGAATCTTCTGTGGGCCCAACTCTGAACTTGGCTATGCTCTTTTGAGAAGAGATTTCTGTCCGTTTTGCTAATTATTTTAGCGATTTTTTTTTTTTCTCTTTTTTTTTTGTCCTTTCTGGCCAGTCAGTTTTGTGGTTGTTGACAATTAGTTTGTTAAATAAGATCTCTGAGGACCTACCCATTATTAAGGATACAACATTTTGTATACCAAATACTACTTGGATGTTTTTTCCCCTCATGCTTTGGTAATGGTGTTAGATATTTTGATTGTTCCAGCTGTAGGGCAACAGTCTGGCCACTTCAGACTTTGTTTTGTGTCACCCCATCTCTAGGAGGCTCTTGCAGCGCATCGCCCTGATTTCATCTCCCGCTCTGGAGAGCGTGTGAAGCACCTGAAGCTTGTGATGGAGGAGAGGAGGATGCAGAGCGTACTGCAGTCCCGACCAGAAGGGCTGTTTAACCCTGCGGAGAAAAGCAGGGGCTGCAGGGATGCAAGTCACGTGCTGTCTGACAGAGGTACCTTCATGGTTCTGCTCTTTGTGTTCTATAGGGATTAATGAATTTCCACATTATACTTAAGGGTGTATTTTTAATACAAGTATTACAATTATTTAACATTATTGTCTCTAAGAATACATAACTTAGAAGGAGTCCGACTGTTGCAATGGTATTCTCTATGAGAAGAAGGCTTGTTCACTGTTCTCTTACCTCAACATTTTCTGTTTAGGTTTTCTGATGAGAGGAAAGAGAAGAACAATTCCAAAGAGTGAAATGGTTCAAAGATCTAAACGGTAAGGTTCCGAAGATTTCATTGCAGGTAGAGAAGTGACCTGAGTAAATGGGTAGGAAAGATGGATGAATTGTATCTGCTGTCGAAGAACTGGGTGCTGGGGATAACTTCAGTGCAAGCTGTAGACACCTTGTCAGAGCAAGAAAGCAGCTGTTTAGAAAATCCGAGGAACAAGATTATTTTGGAAAAATTATTTCTGAACTAAACCTGAATATTCTGCTGCAGTATCTGCAATCCAGGCACTACAGCAAACTGTGCAAGGACTGGATCTCGAGAGGAGAGGAAATGTAGGGTGCGGGTCTCTGGAGCATCTGTATCGTTTTAAACATTAACGAACTAGGTAATTGGTGCAGGAAGTGAGGTATCATTTCCCCAGATGAAAGTAGATTTATGTGATAAATAACTACCCTCAAAGCAATACGGAGGCTTTTACCTTTGAAGAAAACCACCTTATGATTGATATTGCCATGTTTTCGACTCAAGTAATTCATATATAACGTGCACGGCACACTAGCAGCATATTAAACATTTGGAATACCTGTGCTACAGAGAGAGCATGTGAAGATATAATAAAAAAAATGGGGTCTGTTGCAGCTGTGTTCTGAAATGGTGGTGTGGGTGAGCGGAGGTGGTTTGGAAGAGTACCAGTGGAGAAACAGCGTAAATACTTGGAAGTAAATTAGAGATCTCTGCAGGCTGGAGGAAAGGGCCAAGAGGAACCTCATGAAGTTCAACAATATCAAATACCAAGCCTCTCCTTGGGACAGAACCCTCCCCTCCAAGGACAACCCCTTGGCAGTGTCTGAGGACAGACTGCCCATGGAGTGGCCCTTCTGGAAGGGGCCTTGAGGGCCTGGCAGCTGGTGGACAGCAGATTGAACGTGAGTTGGCAGTGTGCTCTCGCAGGGATGAAGGCCAGCTGCACGCTGCATTTTGTGCAGGTGGAAGGAAGTGGATATTCCCTCTGCTTGGCACTCATAGGGCCACAGCTGGGTCCTGTCTCCTGGTCTGGGCTGTCAGGACAAGAGAGAGGTCAGCAAAGTGGCCCGTGTCTGGTGGAGGCCACCGAGATAGTCATGGAGCTGGAGCACGTCGTGCAGGAGGGGAGGCTGTGGAGGCTGAGTGGGTTTGGCGTGAGGAGGAGGAGGCTGAAGGTGAGGATCTGGCAGTGGTGCTTTCCTGCCAGAAGGAGGGTTTGGAGAAGGCAGAGGAAGACTCTTCTAGGAGGTGCACAGTGACAGGACAAGCAGCAGCAGTGATGTGTTACAGTAAGGAGAAATTCTGACTGGAGACAAGGAAATCATTTTTTCACGAGGAGGGTGATGAAGTGGCAGACCAGGACCCCGCAGAGGTGGTGGACTCTCCATCCTTGGCAGTAGGACGTGATTTTTGGGACATGGTTTAGCAGGCATGATGGTGTTGGGTTGACGGTTGGACTTGATGACCTTAGAGGTCTTTTCCAACCTTAGCGATTCTATGATTGTAAGTGGAGAGGATGAGGCCCGAGCAACCTGGTTGAGCCCTGAAGTTTAGCCCTGCTTCGGGCAGGAGGTTGGACTAGGTGGCTTGTGGAGGCCTTTCCAACAGAAATTACACTGTGATTCTACAAAATATCTACTGGAACATGCAGTATATAAAATAAATACCTTGATATATATGCTAGGAGAGTCCAAAAATAATGTTTTATTTCAGCAGCTTTTGGCATTTAAAAGTATTTTTAGGGCATTAATAGAGGGGTGGCAGAAGTGGTAAATATGGTGAATATGCCAGGTCCCCAAGGAAAGCATCTCCACATGTTTTAGCTGAAGTAGAAGGATTCAGGTTTGTGTTTCAGACTGTGAGATCGATGTATCTGAAGTCATGTATTTTCAGAAACTCTGATTTCATAATAAGCCAAGTCAGCGGGACTTCTACAGAGACTGATTCAGACAGTCACACTTGGTGACTTTTTCTTTTTGTTCTTGCTGCTGTCACACTCCAGCTCTCAGCTGGAGCTGAGAAGGAATTTATTCTGTACCATTCTTTTGAAATCCACACCTATAATGAGTGCAGAAGCTTTTTCTCTGTGAGGATATAAATGGAATTTCTCATGGCAAACTAGCTAGAGGTAATAAAAACAATTGTCAGTGAATTTACCTACAATTCTGCATTGCCCGCTTCTTGTTCTAAACATCGTTACGGTGCGGTGACGTGCGAGGGGTAAATCTTGATCTTTGGTTGAGGGGAGCCCCAGAATGGTAAAAGCTTTTAGAGACGGTGAGATGTAGCAAAGCAAAACCCTAAATCTTGGAGGCATCCCTCCCTCCCTCCATCCCGTAATGCGTGCCTGGACCTGCTGAGCACCAGTCACCTGCTGTCTGCTTCAGAACAGCCCTTGCTGATCGGCTCTCGTATGGGAGACGTTCAGCGCTGGAGAAGACAAAGCATTCGCCTGAACAGGGCAACATTGAAAGGTGAAAATACTGACATTTTGAGAAGATGCATAAATAGTTTAACTTGGGATATTCTTGTGATAAAGATGCTGCTGCTGATGGATAAACACGTTGCTCAGAATCAGCGTATCCTCAAAGCGATGGGGCTGTTCTGTACTGAAGATACTGAAGTTCTGCCTTTTGCAGCTGGGCAGTCGTATCAGCTGTATGTCATTTTAATGTTATAAATATTGCTTTTAGGAGAGTGCTGCTTGTGAGAGCAAGGCATGATGGGCTGTGGGAATTTCTGGTATCACAACTGCTGTGTGTTCCACGTTTTCCCTGTGTGACACTAGTAAACACCCAAATAAACGTTTCTGCGGTGTGGTTGGCCAGTAGCCTTTAACAGAATGTGAAGATAAAACGGAGGATGTTTTTTTTTTTTATATCAATAAGTTCTGCCTTCCAAGTCACTATTTATGACTTTTTTATTTACACTTCAGGATCTATGAGCAGTTGCCAGAGGTGCAGAAGAAGCGAGAGGAGGAGAAGAGAAAAATGGAATACAACTCATACCGCCTGAAAGCACAGCTGTACAAAACGGTAGGTGTTCTAGTGAAGTATTTATAGTGGAACATTTTAGATTTTTTTTTTCTTGAGGTCACAAGCATCATAATAATATTTACTAAAGTGTTAATTCTGTGGTATTATTTTGCAACTTGTAGGTGGTTAAGGATATAGGAAAGATGGGGACAATCTGTTTAGTAGAGACAACAGTGATAGGACGAGTGGTGATGGTTTTAAACTAAAACAGGGTAGGTTTAGGCTGGATATAAGGAAGAAATTCTTTACAATGAGGGTGGTGAAACACTGGCACGGGTTGCCCAGAGAGGTAGTGGAGGCCCCATCCCTGGAAACATTCAAGACCAGGTTGGACAGGGCTCTGAGCAATCTCGTTAGCGGTGTCCCTGCTCGCTGCGGGGGGGGGGTTGGACTAGATGGCCCCTGGGGGGCCCTTCCAACCCAAAACTTTCTATGATTCTATGATATATTAGCATTTAATCAGGGTCAAAACAGTCAGGCTTAGTAAAATTTGGAACAAAAAATCCCCCTACCTAACCTGAAATCCTTCTGGTACCTGCACATGGTGTGTGGAAAAAAGACAAGGAAGCATGGTCCTGGTTAAAGCATACAAAGGAAAGTCTTGCGCAGTCTCGAGGGCAGAACAGAGGGATCGTGGAGCATATTTAAAGAAGATATTCCACAGACAGGACGCTGCTGGTTTTGCTCTCGTGCGCCCTTGCTGTAGATGGGTTTAGCTTACACAATTCACAGCTTAACTCCCCTGCAGGGAGCTCCTTCTGTCCCTGCTAACGACTGCTGCGCTTCTTCCCTGGCTGCCCGAGCTGTGTAAGGTCTTTAACAGGCAGACACAAAGCACGGGGTTAACTAACGACAGGCAGACTGAGGAAAGCTGTGCTGGAGACTCACCTGGGTTAAGTAAAAAGGAAGAGTCTTCTGTCTGTGTGCCCTGCCATGTGCACACATCTGATTATCCAGTATTTCTGGGTAACAAGCGGCATCGGTTTATACACAGTGATGCGATGAATGGCCCGATAAAGCAGAGGCCGCCCATTTGTCCCCTCTGAGAAGTGCATCTCCAGTGCTGATCCATGTGTCGCTATTTGAGCTGCTCTATGCTTAAGTTTTCTCTGAAGACCTAATAAGAACTAAAAGATGAGAAGCAACAGTTCAGAATACAAACGCTGAGGTTCTAACCTGACTTGCCCTCTCGCTCTTTAACTCGTACACCGTAAAACGCAGCCTGCTGGAGAGCTCTGGCAGCAGGCAATAAACTGCATTATAAGCCTCAGTGGTTTAAGGACATGCATTAAAAATTAAAGCTGATTTTTTTTTTTTTTTCTCTGGATCTTAAGGTTGCACTTCAGTTTTAGCATTGTAACGCTTTCCAGGCTGAGGTGTCCTACCAGAGCTGGAACAATAGGGTTAGTTTATTTGTTGGGAACAGCAGCAATTGGATTTTAAAAGTCAGGGCTCATAATGCAACGTAGCATCCAGAATACCTTCCTAATGTGATTGCGGGTACTTGCCACTAGAATTACTGGAATTGGTGCTCTGCTTCTACAGGGTATCTTCAGGACGTATTTTTTTCCCTAGTCTGAGAATCTCAGGTGCCAGTAAGGTTGCAAGAGTTACTGAATGCTGGCAGTTGTAGAAGTAACGTAGTCAGCTGGAAGCAGAGAGGGAATCGGATTAGAATTTTTGTATGCGAGTGTGGTTGTGATTGGAAGAGGGATGATGATTCATGGCAGTAAATACTGTCATCTTTTTGTCTTCCTTGATGGTGCAGAATGGCTGCAGTGAGTAGCTGTAAATGCAGTGAATGGTTTGTTTAGAATTTGGTTAATGTGTTGCTGAGAGCATCAGTTTCTAAGCAGATCTGACTGCGCATGAAAAAAAGAACCACAGGTTTTGTGGCACGACTCCAAAGATGACACAGAGTATTAGGAGAAGAAAGCTGCTGGTGCAAAAGCTGCCTAAAAGCGTATGTAATCGAAGGTTGTGTCACTTAAATGATCTCCTTCCCCTCTACACTGCCCTGGTGAGGCCTCATCTGGAGTACTGTGTCCAGTTCTGGGCTCCCCAGTTCAAGAAAGATGAAGAGCTACTGGAGAGAGTCCAGCGGAGGGCTACGAGGATGAGGAGGGGACTGGAGCATCCCTCCTACGAGGAGAGGCTGAGGGAACTGGGCTTGTTCAGCCTGAAGAAAAGGCTGCGAGGGGACCTTATAAATGCCTACAAATATCTCAAGGGTGGGTGTCAGGAGGATGGGGCCAAGCTCTTTTCAGTGGTGCCCAGTGACAGGACAAGGGGCAACGGGCACAAACTGAAGCAGAGGAAGCTCCAGCTGAAGATGAGGAAGAACTTCCTCCCTCTGAGGGTGATGGAGCACTGGAACAGGCTGCCCAGGGAGGCTGTGGAGTCTCCTTCTCTGGAGATATTCAAGACCCGCCTGGACAAGGTCCTGTGCAGCCTGCTCTGGGTTACCCTGCTTAGGCAGGAGGGTTGGACTAGATGACCCCCCGAGGTCCCTTCCAACCCCTCCTATTCTGTGATTCTGTGATTCTGTGATCTGTAGCACAGCACCCAGACTGTGCTCTGAGGATCTCTCATAGCGGCCAGTTGACGAGCTACTGGTGTAGAACAGCAGATCAGTAGTCTGGAGTAGATCTGACCCTTAGTTTAATTGCAGCCATCTAGAGGAGGCCTGTTGTGCCTGATATGGACCGAGCAGGGGACAGTTCCTTCCAAGATGGCTTGGCATAGACCCGGACAAAGCTTGGGAAAGCAGAGGGAAGCCAAAAGCCCTGCTCGAGTCTGGGTGCAGTACTCCTGTTCTCCGACTCCCAGGCCAGTGCATAGCAGCATGACCTGCCCCACGTGAAACCGCTTTGTCCTTCACTTTCTGGATTTTGACAGGCTGCCACTGGACATCTTGATGGGAAAGGGGCCTACTGGTGCCCCAGTGCTCCAGAGCGCAGCTTAGCAGGTTAAACTGCCGGTGGACGTGGGTGCTGAGGTAGCCTGTTGGGGAGCATCTGAGGCTTACACTTGTATTTTCTTGGCTGATTTTCTGCTCTGCAAATGCCAGTACCTGGCAGAGGAGCCCTGATGAAGCAGCTGGGCAGGCGGGGATGCCTTAAACTGCCAGGCCAGCCGGCTTAGTGAAGGAGAGCCCGAGCACTTAACTCTCTTCCAGCGCCTGTGGCTGAACACTTTGTTGTAGTAGTGAAGCGTGCTGATATCCTAAGTTTATCACATCTCAGCCACGATGTGATATGGTGCTGGGACACTGGTTGCTTCTACATCTCTCACTGATTCCAGAGGAGCAGACGTGTAAAACCAGGCATACACCTCGCTAACAGTGGTACTCCGAGGTTGGGGTTACTAGCTGTAGAGTGTGTGTGCCATTTCTGTGGGGCATCGAGGGCTCACAGGTCCAGGGTGATGAAAGCTTAGGAAAGGAAGCAATGAATTAAACATGTACACACACTCATATCTGTGCGTGCATGGACAAGTGGTGTCTGCTGAAGTATCCTCTGGGCTCCCCACTTCAAGAAAGTGAGAGAGTCCAGCGGAGGGCTGCGAGGATGATGAGGGGACTGGAGCATCTCTCCTACGAGGAGAGGCTGAGGGAGCTGGGCTTGTTCAGCCTGGAGAAGAGAAGGCTGAGAGGGGACCTTCGAAATGCCTCTAAATATCTGCAGGGTGGGGGTCAGGAGGACGGGGCCAGACTCTTTCCAGTGGTGCCCAGCAACAGGACAAGGGGCAACGGGCACAAACTGAAGCAGAGCTGCGGTGCTGTGCAGCCTGCTCTGGGTGACGCTGCTTGGGCAGGGGGTTGGGCTGGGTGACCCACAGAGGTCCCTGCCAACCCCTGCCATGCTGGGATTCTGTGATAAGTGCGTATTGATGTAATTTATGGGCCAATGCTTCGGAAGAAAAATGAACACCAGCTTCTTCGAAATGTATCGTAAGGAGAAAACAAACAGAATTGCATGTTGCTGGTGTAAGCAACGACAGCTACTCTGTGGGACACACTGCTCTCTGGAGGCAAGGTGCCTCTCATCGTTTGCTGTAGGGAACAAGGATAATGAGCTTCGTGTCCAGGTTGAGGGATGAGATGAAACTCAGTTTATCTGGCTTAAAATAAGGCCCCGAATTAGTGAATGTATATGAACAAAATTTGCTTACCTTTTATAAAGTACGATGAAAACACTCATAGAGAACACCTGAGAAGTAAGGGCTGTCGGTGCTTGTTTGAAGGCATTTTTGTGCTGCAGTGGCAATGTGGGGCACTGCAGAGGGAAGGGAAGAGAGGATGAAAGAACAGTTTTGTCAGCACGGAGTGAGGATGGGATCCTTGGGAGGAGACAGTGTGGGTTCGTATGTAACTGGAAACTTACCAAAATTCTTGTGCTAGAAGGCGGCTGAGGGTTGCACAGGCGTGCTTAATCTTTCCAGTTGTTAAATGATCAACGTTATTAAGATAGTGAAGTTATTTTTATCACAGGATGCACATGGGTCTGGGCAGATGTTCTGTCCCAATGTCCCTTTGCTTTTGTGCTCTGATGTCAAATGCAGCATAAAATGATGCTAGTCAGGTAAGGGTATGGTGCATGCCCTTTAATTTTGGAACTGTATAGCCAAGACAGATTTCTGAGCTAATGGCAGCATAAATCAGAACTTTCAGCCCTAGCGAAGTGAAGCAAAAATGAATTTTATAGGTTTATCAGATACAAGTTTGCTCCGTTACCGAGCCTTTTCCGTTAGATGTAGTGAGTTTGTAATTTTTGTAAACAGGGAGCATGGGAGAAACCTCTGTGAAGGGGACAGTGAAGATTAATTTATGCACTTCCCACTACCCCTTAAAAAAGGAGAAGGATACTAGCATTCTGGAACAGTAACCACTATTTTATTTATGGATGGGACGTGTTCTTCAGAGCCCATGCAAGGCAGGGGCCACAAGGTGTCACTACCCCAAAGGAAAAAGCAACATGCTTCTAGAGGTGTGAAACTAC